GCACCGCACGGCGCCCCGGCACGCCACGCTCGGCGGCGAGAACCGGGGGGCGCCACGCCGCGAGCGGCCGCGGGCCGTCTCCGCGAGATTGCCGCGCGAGGCGTCAGCGGCGGCGGGCGTGCCGCAAACGTCACCGCCACGTGCACTGGCCGAGCTTGCTACCCCGCCGCCACGTGCACCGGCCGAGCTCGCAGCCCCGCCGCCGCCCGCGCCGCGCACTCTGCCAATGCTGGTCAACCGGCCGCCGCCGGTCGCCCGTTATTGATTGCTGCTCCGGCCGGTCACGTGACCGAGCGCACCACGTGACCGTCAACGCAGGCGTGCCAGCCGCGGCGCGGCCGCCGCCGGGGGGCGCCCGGTGTTGCCAGCGGCCGGCAGGGAGGGGGGAGGGGGAGGGGTGAGCGCGGGCCGTGCAAAACGGGAAAAAGTCGCGATCGGCGGCCTCTCCAGCGTTGACTATATTCGCTACCGCTGTTGCAGTCACCGTCACCGAAGGCATGCGAGAAATGGAACGGCACCGCCAGCTTCCGCCGCGTTGATAACGCCACGCCGCGCGGCCCACACATCCGTCAAAGACGTTCAGCACAGGCTTGCAAACGGCCACCGGTACCAATCTCGACCAACAGATGGCAGGCGCTGCCGGGCTCATCGCCGACCCGGCGACGGGCTGCCGACGCCTTCCCCGGATCCGCACAACCGGCGGCGCAACTCCCGGAGGGGGCCGGGCGGCCTTCGCCAGCGGCCGCGCCGCGTCCCGCCAGCCAGCCTCGACGCAGGCTTAGCGAACTCGCGGCGTCGCCCGGGCCGGAGAAATCTGAATGGACTCGTATGCAAAAGCTTCGGAGCAAATCGCGCGTCATGGTTTCGATACGGGACAAGCGCACGAATACTTCGACGGGACTACAGCGCGGGTGAACCCCCACAGGGATTACACAGGAGAGCGTTGACGCTCTCACATGAGAACGTTGACGGGAATCGGATGAGAACGTTGACGTAAATCACACGAGAAAATCGCCGGGACCCGCACCCGAGATCCTGGACCAACTCGCGATGTGGGACTGAAGACGGAGCACTCCAGCTTACAAGCACCCAAAACACTCCAAAGCTCCCGCATGCACCCAAAACGTCCACAGAGCGGCCGGAGGATACTGACCGCCGCGCGCACGCACGCGTCGCCCGCTGCTCCGAGCCTGGCCGGCCCAACAGCGGGCAGCAGCCGGCTCACGCCAGCCCGAAGCACCGGTCGCCAAGCAGCGCCAGGCCGGACAGTAACAGACCAGACCGGACAGGCCAGACCGGACAGTCCCTGCACCGTAAAACCCTCCCCGGTGCAAACGCACCCACCAAACTGGTCCAGCAACACCAATGTGCACCCGGGCATGACCTGCATTCCGGTGCAATATTGCATAAGCGGGTGCTGGTTGCAAGGCTGCACGCTGCAGCCGAGACTCAGCGCCGTCTGAGGTTTGGACCGCGTCCCTGCCGCAAGGCGACGTCATCAACTGGCACACAGCCAGCGAGCCACGCGCAGAGGGACACCAGCGCGGCGCTTGCCCTGGGCTCCGAACGCCGAAGGCGTTACGTCTGTCAGTACGTCTGTCTGGCGAATAGACAGATCTTGACCACATACGGATCGCGTGATCGATGGTGGTGTCTTAAAACGCAGAGCATGCTGATAACTTTTCATTCGAATAACATTTGGGTGCGCCATTCCTGCACGATACATGCCCCCATGGGATTGAACCAGCTGATCTTACTTGTGTCCACACAGAATGAAAGGCATTTTTCACTGGAGCGTACCTGTGACGCCACAGTGCTCCTGCCGAAAGTGAGTGAGGAACTGGGCCCAGAGCGGTTCTCACATCACCGCACGCCAGCGGCGTCCGGCAGGCAGTGGTGTGGCGGAGCGTCAATATGGAAGGTAGCGACGACTATTGGAACTGACGTAAGAACGAAGCAGCGTGCGTGCCACGAAGCCCGCAACTTTCGAGAATACTCAAGAGTGACCCTAATGCGACGTAAGATACATAAAATTAAGAATATTAAAAATGAGTAAAAAAACAAAACAAAAAAGGCTACGTCCCAACATGGCGGAACTTCCACTGCAGCCAGACTGTGGCCTTTAATACCGCCGCTGCTAAGCTAGGTACACCGAGAATTTCAACTATCTACATAGTCCCATTCATGCGGGCAAAGTCACGTCAAATGTACAGACGTTCCCAGACCCACGAGGAAAAGGCTAAAGGAAAAGACGCAAGTTGTCCGCCCTGTGTCATGTAACACGGCATTGCCGTCAAATCAGATGGCCGTTACATTCGAATATCGACTTGGAACTGAGGTCAAATGTCAACTTTCCGCGACCGGCTGAGCCCGACCGCCGGGACTCACCCTCACCCTCACCCACAACACGGCCGTTACTAGAAGCGCCCCACCTGTGCTGACGATCCTCCACACACACTGCTGTTTCAGTGGCGCGATCATAGATGGCGCCATCTCTGCCGGCCGTTTGGCGCCCTTTTCCAGCCACATGGCCGTAGTTTGCGGTTCAGCGCCGCAGGCCGGTAATGGAGTCCCCCGGCCTAACCTCCCAGACTACGTTCTTTCCCGCCACGCGGCACGGCCGTCACGCGCACCAGACGCAGAGCGTCGCACACTTCACCGCTCCACACAGCACGTCACGTCACGTCACGTCGCGGTCTCGACCTCCGGGTGCAGGCAGACAACAGTCGACTTCCTCGCGCAGCGATGGACTGCACGTCACGGTCGGACGACGCGGCTCACTGCCGGGCGACGGCCCCGGGGAAGAGAGGGGAGGGGCGGAACTGCACGTCCGCCCGCTCCGATGACACGTGCCTGGCTGGGGCACTACCGCCGGTCCGCCGGCCGGTGTTGCCGCTCCGGTACAGTTGCACCCCGCCCGGCACCATCAATCACACACCGGTGCCAACAGGAACGCGCGGCCACCAAGCACTCAGCCGTCGGCGAAGACCGGCGTCGCGCGGCGGGATCACAGGCGGCGGCGAGCGGCGCAGGGCGGGCGCGGAGCACGACTGTCCGCCCGCCGCCGCGCCGCCTGAGTCAGCCCGCCACGCCGCCCGCTGACTGAGTCACCGCGGCGAACCGAGTCACGCCGGGTCATCTCGCGGAGTAGCGCGGTGCCGGCTCTGCCACGCGCCGTCGCCGCGGAGCGAGTCGCCGGGCGGCGGCGGCGACTGGGGCGCGCATCCGGCCGATGCGGGGCCTTCCGGGGGGGAGGGAGGGGGGGGGGGGGGGCAGAGCGAGGAGGCTATCGCGAGCCGACCCCCAGCGCGGCCCAGGGACCGGCCCGAGTGACGCGCCGCTGGAGCGGCTCGACGCGCGTCACGTGCTCAGAAATGACGTCAGACGGCAGCGGCAGAGGCGCCGCCGGGCCGATAACACGGGTCGGCTTCCACGAACGTGGCATCACCGGTGCGGGCCGCCTCTGGCAGCGCACGTGCCGGCCTCGGACCCGGTACTTTCCGAGACGTAGGTCAGTTTTTCAGCCGCGGACAGACCGCCGAGGCCTCGCGGACCATACAGGGCACGCGACGGGCTATTCCATCGAATTCAGCGTGCAGTGAGCGCTATTTACAGCACATCAGAAAGGCCCGACAGCACTTATCGTCTTGCAAAACTGCCTTTATCAGCACTGATTCTGGTGACTCTCGCTTACCGCAATGTGCATGCCCGACCACCACACTGCTGAGTATGGGACCTGATGCAAGCGGGGGATAGAGAAGGGGATTTCCGACAGCAGTCCCGCCACGAATGACTGCAATTCAACTCTTTGCAGGCAGCGAGCCAAAACCATTCGGAAAGTAGACATCACGGCATGAGTGACTTCCTTCATCCATGCACTACACCTCGAGCCATCAGCTACCATCCCGCAACCTTGGCTAGGTTCACAACCATTTAGCAGTCTTCGCACACACAGCGAACTGCCACAGCTGTGTTCAAACCTTCCCAAGTTCATTGAAAAATGGCTCCTCAGAATCGTCTCCATACGTTCCACAGACCGCCGACTGAACGCCTGTTTTCCACACCTCCGCAGCTGTTGTCCCCATCTCCGCACTTCACCACACCGCACCTGTTCTCCGCACCTCCGCACCGCACCTCCGGCGCAAGAGCAGCCGTCAAATCCCCTACGGCTATCCTCCAACCCAATCCAGTTGCCGTCGGCCCCCTCCGTCACCTGCGGCCGTTCTGTACCGTTCGGCGCTCAACCCGCATACCAGTGTGACACCAACTCTCTCAACCGTCACGCCATTTGCACCTATTCCCAGCGCACCCACTCGTCAACGGCTTCACCCCGTCGGGAGGACCGCCTCGATCCGGCCCGCGTGCGACCACTCTGCGCTACTGCTCGCGTCCAAGGCGTGACCTTTCACCTTTCCAAAATCGTCGGCGAGTACATCGGCGTGGAAGGCCATTCACTACCACAGGCACAACACTAGATCGCAAACGAGCCCGCGCTGACACTGCAAGACGCTGAAGGATACGGACCCCTCAAGTACGCTTTTCCTTTTTTTCGGGTCGGGTTCGACGCCTCAGCCTATGCCTGCGCTACTTCTCTAGGCCAGCTGTACCCGGCGCGCCGCGCCACTTTCGTCTCGACTGCCGCCCCGCCGCGCGATTGTGCGCGCCGGTCAGCCCCCCGCGGTGTGTGTGCTGTAGCTGTGGCTGTAACTGTGGCTGTGGCTGTGGCTGTGGCTGTGGCTGTGGCTGTGGCTGTGGACGTGACTGTGGCTGTGGGCGCGTGCGCGTGCGGTGTATGTGTGTGTCTGTGCGCGTCTGTGGGTGTCTGTGGCTGTCTGTGCGCGTCTCTGTGCGTGTCTCTGCACGTGCCTCTGTGCGCGTGTCTGTGTGCGTCTCTGTGCGCGTCTCTGTGTCTCTGTGCGCGTCCTCTGCACGCGTCTCTGTGCGCGTCTCTGTGCGTCTGTGTGTGTGTCCGGGTGCGTCGATGGAGAGGCGTCACTCACCGTTGAACACCTGATCGTTGCGCTGGATGACTGGCACCAGCGACACCTGGCACTTGCCTGGTCCGTTCTCTGTGGACGTGACAGACAGTGGCAGCGACCGCGACGGGTTAAGGCAGGGGTCGCGGTCCGGTACGGGGTCCGGGTTCGGGGTCGGGTTAGGATACGTGTGTGGGTACAAATACGGGTAGGGCTCGAGTCGGGTCGGGTCGGTCGGGTACAGCACAGTACGGCAGGCTCGGCAGACACCGGTGGGGTATCGCAAGATACAGAAGGGTGGGAAGGTCGAGTGCAGACCAAGCCAGGAGGGCGGATCCAGACGGATTACGAAATTGCCCGTCAAAGCAGGCCAGGCGAGACAAGAGGATATCCAGACAGCTCGGTTCGGCGGACTGTACCACATCGGGGACAGCAGAGGTCACGTGGTGCCCGAGTGGGTCAAAATGCGCCGGCCCTGGCCAACCGCTGTTACGGTGCAGAGCACCCAAAGCGTTAGTCAAGGCAAGGGAATCAATCCCAGCGGCGCTTAATGTCACGAACACATAGACTTGACTCCCGAAGCCGGCAGACAACTATTAGATGCAGGTCACGCAAGGTTACGACAGGTCAAGGTCACATCAGGTCGGCAAAGGCCCGTCCAGGACCGGTCACAAGTGCAGAACACCGTCACCGGGGGCGATGACCGGTATTTCCACCAGACTGTGGTCAGGTCAGGTCAGGTCAGGTCAGGTCAGACGCGCGTCACAAACGGTGAGGCGCGGGCTGACCCGGTCTCAGGTCACAGGGGCGCAGGACACGCGTCAGCAGCGGGGACTCGAGCCAGCTCGATTTACGGCGGGAGCCGTCAGAGCAAACAGCCGCCTCGGGGGAAATATCAGAACGGTGTGAGGACCGCGGTCCAGTCCAGTAAACACGGGGCAAACCGAACAGGCGCGAAAAAATATTCGGAAAGCGGGCTGATCCAGCACAGACTGTTATGAAGAGTCTCGAAAGGGATGGAAATAAAAGAAGCGCACAAAACATTCTGGTAGTTTAACTAGCGACAGAACATCTGCGAAGGTGAACAAGGCACAAAGCCAGTTCCAGCCATGCGAACGGGCGAAGCGGCACAGCTTGTGATCATGTGTAGTGCGTAACTAACGAGTCGCAAGTGTCAAGTCTGAAGAAAGGACAACTGACCCCCCCCCCCCCCGAAATGACAGTGTGCGGCGACTGCAGCCAAGGGCCATCAGAAAAATCTTGGAAATGGAATGCGAACACCAATGAGTGACATTTTTTGACGCATCTTTCGAAGACAGTTCGGCACACTGTGCACGCGTCCGAAGTGGCCGTAGGGGCCTGCTCCAGTCAAGCCTGTGGCCGCCACCCCCCCCCCCCCCCTCCCAACCCCAGGCGCGAGCAGCCGGCCGCCGGTATGGTAAGGCAGCCAGGCTGCCGTCCACAGTGCGGCGGCGCCCGGGCGGCCAGCAGCCGGCGCGCGGCGTCGGGGCGCAGCTGCCTCGCGATGGCCCGACGACTGACCCCGCCGCCCGGCGCGAGCTCACCCCTCCCGGCCCGGTCACGTGACCTCACGTGACCTCACGTGGCCTCTGGAGCGGGCCAGAGCGGGACCACTGCCCGTGGTGGTGGGGGAGGGAGGGTATGACCGGCCGGCGCCATGTGTGCTCAGCGGCAGCGACGCTTACATCGTTGTATATCGTTGAATTACGTTACAATCTTACCTTGCATTATTACATTACATTGCATTGCATCGCTACATTACACTGTCTTACAGTTTTCCGCCTGCGCCGTCTGCTTCGCCTGCAGACTAGTAGGCTGCCCCCCCCCCCCCTGGTGCTCGGGTGTCCCTGACGCCAGACCCTGGCGCCGCCCCTGGGTCAGATGGGTCCCAGACACTCGGCCAGAGCACCTCGCGTTGTTGTGAGCCCCGTTCACACGCTGAGCTGACGCTTTCAGTCACGTCAGACCGTTCACCAGGACGTTAGATTTGGTGGAATATTACATGTATATATATATATAATATATATATATATATATATATATATATATATATATATATACATAAAATGAGAGCTTATCACAAAACACAACCAATGGAATTAAATAATAAATATAACAAATGAACATAGAGTAAATAAATCATAATATATAAAGTGGCACTCTTGCACTCCTGGTTACCTGTTCATGGGTAGCGGCATGAAACAAAAATAGAAAGAAGACATGAATTAGTAAAGTACAGAGAAATAGAGGTTCCAAACCGTAAAACGGCTACGTGCGATTAATCATTCGACGAACGCAACGGTGGAAAACAGAACGATCAGCGTAACTGAAAACTCAGATCAGTTTATGAACGGCGCGCTGATCCGTCCGCGTCACGTCACGGCGATGAGGGTCACGTGACGACCGCGTCACGTGACACCGTGGCACGACCACGGACTCCGAGCCGGCTGTCTGAGCAGCGCCGAGACGGGCACGAGCACAGAGCTGAGCACGGCGACAGCCGCTCACGTGCCTGGCCGCTGGCGGCGGCGGCTGGTGGGGCAGCCCGGGGACGCCGCCGCCCCAGCAGCGGCGCACAGGCAGACACACGAGTGACGGTGAACACGCGGGTGAGGTGGGGTGATGAGGATCACACGGCCGACCGGGTGGCTGTCGGCGGCACAGCGCCAGCGCCAGCCTTCGTCGACAGCTGGCGCTGGGTCACATGCTGCAGAAAGGCCGGTGCGATGTGGCAGACAGCCGCCGCTGGCAGCGATAGAGGCCCAGCGCCGCGAACAAAGCGGAGTTGCACACAACATGTGAATAACTGCCGCCCGCCCGGGACGCCACCACATGAAACGCTGGGATGAGCGCCAGGCCCAGTGCTGCCGCCGACTTCGGCCAGCGCCAGTCCCACCCGCACCGACGATCCGTCCCACCGTATTTACACGCGCGGCGACGCACTAGGCAACAACACACTCAGAGCGACGAAGGCGGCATTTTGAGCGTTCGTGCTGAAAAACCACCCCTTGATGCGCGAGAAGGCGCCGGTTCGAAGACGTCCGGATCGCGACGGTCGGACAGCTACAGCAGGGCTTCTGATCACAGGCGGCATACCATTCGTGACCATTAGCACTGCTGAAGACGCCGAGTATCCCCACACAATATGTCAATGCCAGCTTGGCATCGTCTTTTACCCAGCGCGTCCTGGCGCATCGCACATTGAGGCCTTTGTGCACAAGGACCCAAAATGTCGAAAAATCAGGAGCTGAACACCGCTCTGACTTACATCAAGAACACCACGTCTGTGACATGTTCGTGCGTGCATCGTGTCAACATGTGGACGAAACAGCTACCTCTAGATGGGACACGTCGCGTGGCTCACGCGGAACAAAGCCCGCAAAGCATGCACGCGGTGTCGTTCCCCAACACGGCATGCCAACTCTCTCGAGCCCCGCTAAACGTTCCCCAACACGGCATGCCAACTCTCTCGAGCCCCGCTAAACGTTCCCCAACACGGCATGCCAACTCTCTCGAGCCCCGCTAAACGTTCCCCAACACGGCATGCCAACTCTCTCGAGCCCCGCTAAACGCTCACACACCGAACGGCCAACAAACACGCACTGAACCAGCGTCACCGAGAGCCTCGGCCGCCTTCGCAATGCTCGCGTCCGACGGGCCCCGGCCAGGTCCGGCCACATGTATCCAAAAATACAAATATCGCGGAAAACCTCCCCAGCGGCGGAGCGGGTGGGCAAAGCCGGCGCCGTGTTGGCGTCCCCGGCGGTCGTGTTTGGCGAAGGCCCATTGCGGTTTTCCCGCTCGCGCTGCAGCGGGCGCCACGCCCCAATACGACCGCGGACAATCTCCCCGCCCCGCTCGGCAGCCCGGCCGATGCCCAACGCCGTGTCCGCGCCACGACCGCCCGCCCATCCACTCCCGCCATCCACAGACACTACGCACTGCCTGCCTGCCGGCCACCGAGGGCGGCGCTAGTCAAAATCGTCCGACACCCACAAAAATCGCTCGCCTCGCCGGCTCCGCGCAGGCCGGCCGCCGACCGTGGCAGCAGCATACCGATGCCAGGAACGGCGGCGAGGGACGGGGGACGGGGGACGGGGGGGGGGGGGGCGGGGGCAGGAGCGCACACCGCGGCACCTCGCCGCAAGCACAGGCGCAGGCGCAGGCACGGGGCGACGGAGCGCCGCTAGTCTAGCGCGGGGACGGACCGGTGGCGTCGCCGCCTCGGCGCGGCTCCAGGTCAGGTCAGGTCAGGTCACGTACCTTCCGGCTCGCGGGCAATGACGGTGGCAGATCTGTCCACCTTGCGGTCCTCTGTCGAAACGCAGACACGGCGATAGAGAGAGAGGCGGAGAGAAAAGAGACAGCTCAAGTCAGCCGCCTGGCCACGCCCCACCCAAACGGCATCCCGGGAGGGGCGTGCTGTGCGGCGGAGAGTGCCGTGCTGCAGGCGGTGTGTCACCAAGAACACTGAGACTGGGCTCCCAGAGAGACCTCCAGAGGGCTGGAGACGTCAAACTGGTTTTCGCCGTCCGCAAATTAAGTGCTTGTCAACCAACAAAAGTTAATGGCGGTGTGCGACACGACGAAATTGAACGAGATTAAATTAAATTGAAATTGAATTGAATTGAATTGAAACATATTGGCGAAACTGAGGCTTGTCGCCATCACCGTTGTTGTGACTTCCAATAGCGAGAGGAAATACACGAGTATTTCATGAGCTAATACATGAGCTATTCCGAAACCATGGAAGACACCCAAAATGACGACCAGTTGAAAAGCTTTATCGACAAAGTGGCTTGGGGCCAAATTTTGCGCCACCTCGGCCTAACCGCACAGCACGCCACGCTCCCAAATAAATACATAACTAAAGAACACCGTATCACATCATACGCATACGCATCTAGCAACGAAACGGAGGCTGAACATATACGAACGCCCGAAACACAACAGCGAACGAAGCACCCGAGCACTCGCAAGCGAAAGGATATGCGAACAGGCTGAGCGCAAAGATGCGGATCTGGGAGATCCGGACGCGAGCAAATGCTGCGCCGCTAAAAAATCCCTCCACAATAAACCCAAGTAGTTGTAATTGCACGCCCAAACCGAAAGTAATGATAAATCTAACGGGTGCAGTTATACACCCAAAGGTTGCAGTGATCAACCTACGAGGGTGAAATACTACACCCAAAGGTGTGTAGTGAGGTTATCATCCAAATTACGCGACAGGTGGCCTACGGGACGGCCCAGGAGTTATGGACGGCTACTGGCGTCTCCAGCCCATTCCAACCGCCCGCGCGAGCGTTGCACAGCGCAGTGGTTAGCGGTAAGTAACTCTTTAATACAGAGGTGCACTGATCTGCGGACTTAATCTGGTCTGGGGATCTGATCCGATCCGTGTCCCGGTGAGATCTGCGGGAGACCGCGCACGACTGGCGCTCGCCAAACGCGTGACGCCTCCGGCAGTGGCCGGCGAGATCACGTCTCCGTCCGCGGTCCTCCGAGCGAGACCACGGCGGCGAGACAGGGCGCCCTGCACCAACAACGTTGGTTCTCGCGATTGGGCGGGCCTGCGACAATTCCCCGTTCCAGTGTGCGGAAGCAAAACGGCGACCTCCGCTTTGAAGGTCCTGTCTAGTAGCGAGCACGGCAGGCAGACATCGCAGAGACAGCACGCCCAGGTTGAAAGGTCATGCGGAGATCAGCCATGCACGCACACACACACACGCACACACACACACATACGCACACATGCATAGAGGGGCAGCAGGCAGCTGAACACTGCACACTGCCAACATAAAGAGGCCTCAGAGTCGAAAGCTGCCCCCAGTTTCGTGCAGACCAAGTCGGCGCTTTCTTACCAGCCTATTTGGGGAGGGAGGGGGGGGGGGGGGCACGTGCAATGCGTTTTACTTGATCTCGCTCCCGCCGTTGCCAACCTACTGCTTTCCATAGCTTCGATCGCACAGCGCGCACAGTCGGCGGATGGCAGTGACACTACGCGTCCACTGGCCGATAAAACAACTTTGGTGACGGGGGCCACAACTCTCAAAACCATGTTTCCGTGTCCCCGAGACCCCGGCCCGTGTCCTCACCAGGGGAAACGCTACATGTCAACACGCTCGCGCAAAGTGCGCCTGTCGACCACCACAGCCGCGCGCTCTTGACGAGCCTTGATTAAACACGCCCCGGGAAACATACAAGACTATTAATCACGACCCAACGAGAAAGGGCCCCTGTCAGGAGTACTGCAGTGAACCGTCCGCTCTCCCACATTGTCGTCGGGCCGCGACGGCAATAACAGCCGACGCCGTCGCAGTGCGTCGTCTGGCTGGGCGCGGCGGGCGCGTGCTTGTGCGTGAGTGTGGGTGTGGGTGTGTTAGTGCACGGTGCTTGTAACGTTAGTGCTGCCGAATGGTCCTCAAACTCGGTCGGGTGGGGAGACGGGCCGCCCCAGCATTGGAAGGGGGGAGGGGGAGCGACACGGGGGAAATCCCCGCGGCTCCAGATTAAGCCGCAACGCGTTACTGGCCAGCCTCCTGGTCCCCGGCCTGACCCAGGAGCGTGTCGACCTCCAATACTGCCCGAGGGCACCTCCAGAGGGAGCGCGGGGGGAGGGGGCTGAGAGGATGAGGGAGACCACCATAGACCCCAGGGCACGGTCCATCGACAATCACCCCTGCGTTTCTGAGACCAGCAGCCAGCTGTGACCAGCAGCCAGTTGACACCTGGACAACACGTCTCCCACTGAACGCCGTGCACGAACAGTGGAGTCGGGTCGCAGAAGTCACCTAAGCTCACAAAAGTCAATGAAGGTCACAAAGTCACCGAAGGTCACTGATGTCATCCGCGGGCACGGACACATACAAGAATTCTCTACAGCGATGTTCCGGTGGGAACGTCCGAGTGAGCATCCTTCACCAAACGGGTGCTCTAAGCCGAAGCGACAAACGTGACTCCAAAAAGTAGCGGGGCGACCTCTGAGCAGGCGTGGGAACTTCCGTGGGAACCCCCGGGTTTCCCACGGAAGTTCAGAGGTCACCTGGCGCCCCCGAGGGTCCCGAACCCACCTAGCGGACCGGGAAATGACCCTGCTTCTCCACGGGACTGGGTTAAAACTGGAGGGACACCCAAACCTCGCCACCCTGCTACTAGAGCCCCAACCCCACCCCCGGCTGGACGGCCCGTCCCCGTGTGCAGTGCCGGCCGTCCCGACGGCGGGCGTCGCAGCCGCGCCGGTGACGTCACACGTCCGTTCGTCTGGCGACGTCACACGCTCACCGCGGGCGCCGTTGACGAGCGCGGCCGAGGCGGCCGCCGCCGCCGGCTGCGTGCCCACCATCTTACGCAGAGCGCCCACCAGCCCGCCGCCGGCGGCGGCGCGTGCTGGCACCGCCGGCGGCGCCTCTGGCGGCCGCGGTACACAGCTTAGGTGTTGTGAGCGCGCACTAAGCGGCGCTGCGATCGCGGTGAGGTGATTGGCTACTAAGGGTTTTGACTCTGATGTTTGGAGGTGAACCACTGACAAAGGGACGCTATAAAAAGGCACGATCAAACGGAAAGCTTGAACCAAGAGTCGTTGATGCAAAATCCTTGTTTGAAGCTGCAACCAACATATATGCACGTGAGGACGATACGAAGTTTTAATCTGCAGTGTAAACGAGGAGCATCTACACTAAAATCTGAGAACAAAGAACTCGTTACGAAAACGAAGACTGAACTAAGTAAGCATTACTCCTTGTTTTTCGTTCTGTATGGCGCTCTCAACTCATCACATCCTAATAAGGGGAATGCACATGACACCTAAGTAATATCCAGCTTCCAACAGCACAGCTGCCTTCCATCACATCCCCCCCCCCCCCCCCCCCCACCCCGTTGAGACCACAAACATCCTCACAAACAAGGAGACACAGTGCCTTTCAACCCCCCTCGAAATCTCCCACATTTGCAATCCTCTCATCCATCGACTGCTACGACCATGCAGCGGCTACGCCCCCTCCCCCTCCCTCGCTACAGCACCGGTGTTAACCGTGCAGCCTCAGCCGACGACGACACCAACAGTGAGAGCGAGCGAGAGAGCGAGAGCGGGTGAGAAGAAGCGACAGCGAAGCAACGGCCGACAGGGCGACGCCGTGCCGAGCTAACGCTACATGTCAGAAGCTGCTCCCACGCGCGCCGGCGGTGGCGCGTGGGCCGCGCGCAGCCTCTGCCCGGGCCCCGCGCCGCGCCAACCCTAGCCTCCGCCGGGGGTGCGGCCCACGCCGGCGGTGCATGTCTCCACCGCTCTTCCAGGCGCCTATCCCAAGCAGGCCCAGCACGGCGCGTTTTAGAGCCCGCGGATGAGCAAAGCCCCCCCCCCCCCCCCCCCACCCCACCCCCACCCCTCCCCCACCCCGCCCGCACCGTCAAACGGCACGCTCTGACGCCATCGTACCGCCGCCCGATGGCATGTATGCGAAGCGGCAGAGCGAGGCTCGAGCGGCGACGCAGAATCCGGACTGGCTGCAGCGCCGGCGGCGGGGTGACCTCCTCAAAATGGCGCCGGAAAGCGGGCTCCAGTGGAGCACGGCCGGCCCGGTCTGGGTCGGGCGGGGGGAGGGGGGCCCGGAGTCAGCCTCGCTGCCTCCCTCGCGACCGAGGTCACATCGGGCCTTTGTGAGGCAGCGCGCTTTACGTATACGCCACCTGCTCAGCCTCTCGCGGGGCGTTTGCGCCTTCGCCCGCCCCAATCGCCGTCAAAGCCGCCTCTTCCAACAACGCGACCAAACGGAACATACGCACTGGGAGGCTGTTCAGCAAGCGCATTCTCTACACGTCCAGCCTAGCCGTCCTTTCATTCTGCCGCGTCCAATCGGCTATCGACCAACCACTCACGAACGCACGCGCTCAAATCCGACCCCAAAACGGCAGCGGGACGTCCCCACCTCCCTATTCCAAACCCTTTGTAACCCCAAACCCAACCCCAACCGCAAACCCTTTGTAACCCCAAACCTCAACAACAACATACCACCGTGACGTCGCATCACACATATCGCGCCGTACGACAACAAAGAACACCACCAGCGAATCCCGACATTCAACGACCACGCTACCCTAGCAAAGCCGCCGCGCCGTCGCCACATTGAACACCGCGGGTCGCCGGCGTGACGTCATTTGCTGACGTCAGCGCGGCGCCATCGGCTCACCTTTGCAGTCGTCCTCCTCAACGGTGGTGTTGCTCTCAGTGGATTCCTTGACATGTGAGCCGTCGCCCTTCTTAGCCACGATGCTGCGGCCTGGGAACGCCGCTGACCCGTAAGCGACCGTCGCCACGCACGGCTCGCGCGACTCCGGCCGGGGGCCGGGGCGGGGGAGAGGGCGGGGTCGAGCCCCTTCCCCAGGCGGCGAAAGAGCGAATGTTATCCGCCTTCGTAATTTGTTTTCGGGGCGTTGGCGTGGCGTCCGGAGTCCTACTCGGCTTCGTGCCGGGCACATCTCTGACAGGGAGGGAGAAGGGGAAGGGAAGGGAGGAGAACAGCGCAGCCGTCTCAAATTTTAAAAATACTTTACATTGGTGCTACCGCATGCCGCCATCATCCCTTGCCTCCACAATATTTGTAACGGGGGGGGGGAGGGGGGAGGGGAGTAAGGCAGGTTAGGTTAAGCATTTGGCCGGCATCAGCAGCCAAACACCGTGCCGTGGAAGATACAGGTCGAGATACGCCACCCCGTGCGCTGAGGGCGACAGCAGGGGAGCAATGCCATTTTTTAGAAGAAAGCTTTCTAAAAATTGAAATTTTAGAAGAAATAAACAAGTGTGGGCCTACGCCGCTTCATGGTCAATACTTGATTAACCAGCCTCGCCCCCTCCAAAACCGTTTAGGGGTCACTACGCCACTGGGGCAGCGGTGAGGAGGAGGCGGGGGGAGGGGGAGGGGGCGGAGGCAATAAGACAGTGATCCCAAGGCTTGTCGTGAACAAATCATGGCCGGTGTGAACCCTACGGCGGAAAAAGCATTCGGCTCGCAGCTAACTTCAAACAGACTAGCCAAAGACACCGGAAATGGGGTGTCATGGGCTAAACGCACAGCAATAAATCGTAAATCGTAATCGTAAAAACGCACAGAATCAAGCGAAGGAGATTGACACGCATCGCCACGTAAAAGTTGCGTGGTTAACGCTGACATACTGCGGTTAAAAGAAGAATGCTCAGTGATGTGCAAGCAGTTATGGACAACAGTGTACGCAACACGTAAAAAAATACAGACGTGTTGGAAAAAAATCAAGAGACACAATCAGTCATCAACCGCAAAGCAAGCTACACTATTCACAAGGCCAATGAGTGGACTTCTTGAGAGCTATGACCGCTTCCCAGTTCTGAACAAGCGTTACCTATCCCACTTGCCTACGTTATCTACGTAGTTATTATTATCATTATTATTATTATTATTATTATTATTATTATTATTATCATTATCATCATTATTATTATTATTATATATATATATATCATATGGTAGCTAATCAATGTTTCCTACGTATCTGCATTATTTCATCAAAAGTGGCCAGGTCAAAAACACGCGCACGCATCGCGCAAAAAGCCAACATCCAACTCACTCGAGAAGTTGCGCGTGGCCAGCATTGTGGTCAGGATCGCGCCCTGCAAAGAAAATCGCATCAAATCTCCAAGTGAAAGCAAGTGGAAGCAACGGCTGACATTACGACAGGTCCACGGCGAAATACACAGCGTTCCGCGGCGCCCAAGCCCTCGACGACGGCAGACGTGACGACAGGTCCACGGCGAAATACACAGCGTTCCGCGGCGTCCGAGCCATCAGCGAAACCAACACTGTCTCGCGAGGGATTTAAAATGGCCATCGCGACGACGTTGATCAGGTGCACAGGAACAGAAGCCAAGAACGGCATCGTCCCTGAACGCTGAGACGTAACCAGAGGACGAAGACAAGCAGCGAACATCCCCTGGAGGACGACGGGTGCACACGAGTTTATCAAAACCTTTAACGGCGGTCAAAACCAAAACCAAAACCTTCAGTTGCGAGGCACCATGGTGGATGGCTTTTTATTATTACTTTTACTATCACTATGGATCACTATTTGGTAGGTGATGGACTTGGGTGGATTGCCATATGCTCTTACTATCCCCCGCTGGAACGATTCGAAGTGCGACAAACCCGGTGCACCGCGTTACGTAGAATTCTCGGTTGATCCCAGCAAATGCATTCACAAGCTCTCTGCACGGCTATCCGCTTTCTCCCAGGCGTCACACAGCCCAGCTGGCCATCCTCAGGAGCGCGCCCACGCCTCTTATCCGCTGCGTGTCTCCCGTCTCCTCCCCGCCGCACGGCCGTAAGGCCCGCCCCGCTGCCTGACCTGAATCCGGCCGTAGGGCCCGTCCCGCTGCCCGACCTGACACCGACCGTTGGGCCCGCCCTGCTGCCCGTCCTGACACCGACCGTGGGGCCTGTCCCGCTGCCCGACCTGACACCGACCGTTGGGCCCGCCCTGCTGCCCGACCTGACACCGGCCGCACGGCCGCACGGCCCGCCCCGCCGCCCGACCTGACACCGGCCGCGCGGCCGCACGGCCCGCCCCGCCGCCCGACCTGACACCGGCCGCACTGACCTTCAGCTTTCGTCTGGCGTTGAACTTCTTCAGGCAGTCCACCGTCTGCTGCCTGTGCACCACCGACGCCACGCGCTCGCGTTGCTGAAACACGACAGACGCCGTCAGCAGCGGCTCCGAAGGTCACCACAGGTCATTAACGGCTATCCACGGTCAGAGGTCATCACTGACGGTGACTAACAACCACAGCTGGTCATAGTCCGCCGCAATAGTCGCAGCGGCCTCCGTTGTCTCCAACAGCCGGCAACAGCTACAGTTGGTCACCAACAGTTGTCAACGGTCACCTACAGTCACTCACACTCAAAAGCCACCATTAACAGCAGTTTACAGCCTGCCGTTCACCACATAATGCCCAAATCGTCCACACATAGCTACGGCCGATGTCATCAGAATGTGCCAATGCCCACCAACAAGTCAGTCATCATATGAAGGGAGCAAGCTAATGACGCTAGTCATGCGACCGGCAGTCATTTGTTCCAATTCAGTGCCATTCAGATGTCTCACTAGTCACCAAAAGACCCACTAGTCATCGAATGACAACAACCCTGAGTCATCAACCGTCCTGAGCGGTCAGCAGCCACTGTCACCACCGGTGTTCGCAAATGTCATCAATCTACCCTCGAGAGCCGACTACACCAGCCAACGCAAGCTATCGAGACGCGAGTGCCCTACGAATGTCTCCGGAGCTACAGAGGTCACGGCGCTCTAAAGGCGCCTTTATCCAGCGCGCCCGGCGACCAATGTTACATTTACTGGGCGGCGTGCCGGCCATACCGCCCTCCCTCGCCTTCAGGCCCATGTCGAGAGGTCACGGCAACCCACTGACCGAGCCTTTCCGCGAGCCTGACCACAGCCATCGCTATGTCCACTGCCACAGACCCCGCCACGTCCCGCGCCACGTCCCCTCGCCACGTCCAGCGTCACAGCTCCCGTCACGTCCAGCGTCACGTCCAGCGTCACGTCCAGCGCCACAGTCCTGCCACGTCCAGCGCCGCGTCCAACGCCACGTCCAATGCCGCAGGCCCCGCGCAGCTCCGTCGGAAGATCAACATCAGAGGACCGTCCAGCCGGCGGGGACGCCGGTCTGCGAGCTGGCCGCCGCCGGCGACGTCTAATGAGGCGGTGGCGGCGGCCATCTCCGCGCCTGACACCCGCGGCGACTGCCGGCTGTGACCGACGCGGCCCGCGGCGGCTCGCCACGACGACCCGTCCCTGCGAGCGGCAGCCCTGACACCCGCGGCGACTGCCGGCTGTGACCGACGCGGCCCGCGACGGCTCGTCACGACGACTCGTCCCTGCGAGCGGCAGCCCTGACACCCGCGGCGACTGCCGGCTGTGACCGACGCGGCCCGCGGCGGCTCGTCACGAGGACTCGTCCCTGCGAGCGGCAGCCCTGACACCCGCGGCGACTGCCGGCTGTGACCGACGCGGCCCGCGGCGGCTCGTCACGACCTCCTCCCTGCGAGCGGCAGCCCTGACACCCGCGGCGACTGCCGGCTGTGACCGACGCGGCCCGCGGCGGCTCGTCACGACGACTCGTCCCTGCGAGCGGCAGCGGGCGGCCTTGAGCACAGGGCCTTCGGCCTCCTCCCAGTACGGAGTTATCGTATAACAAGGAGAGTTATCCGGACAATTCGCGGCCGGCTTCGTTATTCTATGCTGGTTCACAGCGCCGTGCTGTTCCCGTGCGTCTAACGTGCACGCGCTGGCTCCTACAGCCGTCGTTAATCGGTCATGGTGCCTCCTTTTGCCCAGTTACGATTCTGACTTGCACCGGTTTGGGATAGCAAACCCTATTATTCTGCAGTTCTGAACCCCGTCTCACCCATGGTGAAATCAGAGGACACCATGACGAGAGTCAAACCTGAGGCGGCAACTGATAAGTTTCTGGTCGGACTGAAACGACCGGAGAAGACACGCAGCAACGGCGACACCGTGCCTCCCGCATCAGAACACCGCAGACGCGTCGCAGCGCCCAATTCCATGTAGGCGCAGTACGCAGCGTAAAACGCCTGCACCCGGCTGTCCCGTGCGACACCAATAAATCTGCGTCAGCGCCTGGCAGCACCAGCTGACACCAGCCAGCGGGCCGCTGGCAGTCGAGCCGCCGTGTCGCTGCCGTCCGGCAGCTGTCCGCTGTCCGGCTGCTGTCTGTTATCCGGCCGCTGTCTGCTGTCCGACTGCTATCTGCTGTCCGGCTGTTGTCTGGTGGCGAGCCACTGTCTGCTGTCCGGCTTCTGTCTGCTGTCCGGCTAGTGTCTGCTGTCTGGCTACTGTCTGCTGTCCGGCTGCTGTCCGCTGCCCGGCTGTTGTCTGCTGCCCAGCCACTGTCTGTTGTCCGGCTGCTGTCTCCTGCTCGGCTACTGTCTGCTGTCCGGCTAGTGTCTGCTGTCCGGCTGCTGTCTACTGTCCGGCTGTGCTCTAATGACCGGTTACTGTCCGCTGTCCGGACGTTTGTCTGTTGAGTGTAGACAGTCCCCGTGCCTGGTCCGGATAAGACGGCGGACAGCCGGGCCGCGAGAGGCGCATGGACCAGACAGGACAGCGCGCCCTTCTTAAGCTCCACGACAGCGCGATGCCGGCATTTAAGTCCTTCGGACATAGTGTTATCGCGGAACAGCCCCGACGTTGTCTGCACATCAGCTCGAACGTGTCGCACTCCACTTCAGCCACAAGCCCGCTCCTCTGCCTTTGGCCGTGCCTCTCTTCAGCTTCTGTCATCCCCGCCGAGGCCCGTCTCCTCCCCACACCCACCGCGCCTCTCTTCAGCTTCTGTCATCCGCCGTGGCCCGTCTCCGCCACCCACCGCGCCGCCGCCCAGTCCGACGGTGTCAGCAGCCGCCGCGCTGGCCGCGCCGCCCCCCCCCCCCTCCCCCCCCCAATCGATGTGCGGAACTGCCGCCGTCGTCGCCAACTCGCGGACGCGACCGACCGCCGCCGCTGCCCGCGGGCGTCGCGCGCCGGATGAATGGCTTAATGGCATTGGCAGCCGCGACAAAAACGCCATCGCCGGCCGCGGCACGCCGGCGCCCGCGGTCGATGGCCGGCGGCGAGCGCGCGCGCCCGCGTGCGGCGGCGCGGCGCACGCGAGCGAGCGCGTGTGACGCGGCGTGCCGGCACCGGTGGGAGGCGCGCGCGCTGAAGTAGGGGTGGAGGAGGGAAGGATGGACGGAAGGAAGGCTGCTGCCGCCGGACGACCGCGACTGGGGACGGGGGGGGGGGTCACGTACAAGCGCTCGCTCCCGCGGGGGGTCCCCTGGCGCTCGCTAACCTGCGCTCTCCCCAGGCAGCACGGCTTTCACGACATGCGCTGCAGAGCCGGGACCAGATTTGCCAAAGATATGACCGATTTCGTTGTTGTTAGTTTTCTAAGTGGCTCTACAGCGACTCGGTTCCCTTTAAGGAGCCGGGCAGAAACATCGGTGGCACTGGTCTCAAGCTGCGAGGGAGGGACAGGCAAAAATCTTGCGATGACTATGAAACCAGAGCACCCCGGAATATGCACGGAACGACACATCACTGGCCACCCTATTGCGTTGGGCCAGTCTGCCGGGCCGACGTCTGGCAAGTCGATCATTTGCCTCACAAACCACTGATAACTTGCGGGCGGCTTTGAAGGGCAAGGAACGGATAAGAACTGGTCGAGTGGGGAGGGGGGGGGGGGGACAAACGTGTCGGCAATGCGTGTCGGTTGGTTCCGTGGTGTGCGGACGGCAGCCGGAGAGCGGGGTCTGGAGATTGGCGATACAATGCACGCGCAGGAGCGTCGTGCGTGCGACGCCGGCGCGCAGGCACGACACTCGCGCGTCCCACCCTTCCCATCCCATTCCATCTCACATTTGTCTTCATCCCACCTCGCCCGGCACGACCCATCCCAACCCCGGCGCGTGTACGACGCCTTCCCCCCCCCCCCCCCCCCCACACTCTCTCAGCCGCGAAGTCAATTTTCTAGTCGTCCGCAGGCCCATCACGTCCGTAATAACGCCTGACGACGCCGCAGCACGGGCCTCGCCGGCGGCGCTGGTGACGCGCTGCCGGAGGCCGTACCACATCGCGACAGAGACCGTACCGCACGACGGCATGCGGCGGCCCAAGGCGGCCCGGGCCGGGTCATCAGGTCAGGTGACCCGCGCTCGGAAGCGGAGCAGTCAGCATGGAAAACTACGCCTTTTTCATTGCCTACTCAAGGACAGTGCACACTGGGGCCAGATGTTGTCCTTTCGGTTCACTATGCTGATTTTCGAAACGGCACGTTCCATTTCGGGGCAAACAAGCCCTACGATGTCGGTCTCCCTACTTTGCCTTCTACAAATCTTGTCTTCGATCTACAATCTTTGTGTTGCATCTACATAGCATTACACTATCTTTTCCTGTATTCTTTATCTTTCCTCTCCGGGAAGCCTTCGGGGCTTCACGTCATCCCTTCCTCAACACATTTTCACCAGCGCCTTCAGTCCAGCCTTCCCTGGGGCCTTCCGCAGCTGACGGAGAAGGGCCCTGAGGAAGGCCCCCGGCCCGGACCTGACGGCGCGAAATAAGGCCGGAAGATTGGCCGGGCTGTTTTCGCCGCCAACCCACGTGACCCACGTGGCCCGCGTGATGAGGGAACGACGCGGCAATAAAGGCATGATGAGGCCGAACTGCGAGTGCTTTGAAATCCTGACAAGCTCTGCCGTTCAAAGGCAAAAAGGCCTTAGCGCCATTTTAAATGACTGAGTTATTCATTTATATAATTTGATGCAGTTCGGGGGACCGCATTTTGAGACGAAATGTCAAATTTCCAAAAATTGCATCAAATATGTTCAATTTTTCTCTCGAAACATCTACGCATGATTAGTTCGTCGAAAACTACAAACGTTTCTTCCAAGCACTTTAACTGCTGGCACCTAGACCTTTTTGCCATTGGACGGCAGAGCTGTGAGCACCACGCATTTCAACCGCACGTTGAATTCTCAGCCGATCAGCGACTTCTGGCTTACAGGAAGCAGCTACCAACAAGTGCTGGTAACCAGACATCAGTCAGTCAGCCAGTTCCGGTGCCACTGTCCCGGAAATGGCATCCAGTTCTGCACTATCTCCGACCGCCCCGGTACATCAATATATAACGGGAATTACTCGCAACGAAACGACCACGGGGGCGTGTCTGTGTTATATTTATCCTACACACACACACGCACACACACACACACACACACACACACACACACACACACATATATATATATATATATATTGTTTAAATAAATAATAACTTTTTAAACAATTATATTACATAGATTGTATCCGTAACAGGGCTTTAATTTGATACATCATGTGCATATAACAAGTACATGACATCGATAAAATGATAACTTTGAACACAAACGTGAAACTTATAAAAATTGCACATAAATGCGTGCCGCCGGTTGTACATCCTCTGCCTCCCTGCACTTGGCCTGCTCCACGCAGGCGCCTCTGGCCACCGTAGGCGACGCGGAGCGCGCGCGCCGGTCGGTGGAGACTTACGCAGATCCAGGGGTGCTTCAGCGCCTCCGTGGCGTTGATGCGACGCTGAGGGTTCACGGTCAGCATCGAGTTGATCAGGTTCTTCGCGTCCGGCGTCACCGTGTCCCACTCTGGCGACGGGTACTGCCGACAGCATCAGGAACTTTAGAAATTACACCCACTCCGGCGACGGGTACTGCCGACAGCATCAGGAACTTTAGAAATTACACCCACCCCAGCCTCGCCAACACTTCACATTCGGTGCGCACAACATCTGGTGGAACTGATTACCGTGACAGGCACTGAAAACAAATGCACGGTTGCACACATATGCATGCCATTTTTACTCCGCAGCTTGCATGCCAATAACAGGCGCTGAAACATCAGGCACATTAGGGACGCAATCGCATAGCTCGACGTAACTGGTGACGTCACACACAACAGGCGATGGAACATCAGGCGCATTAGGGACGCAGTCGTATAGCTCAACGTAACTGGTGACGTCACACGCAAAAGCGTTTGAACCACGCGCAGGAGTCGACGATTTGGCTCCAGTTCAGCGTGGGTGTCCAAAGCTACACGTTTTCTTCCGAAGCTTGCGGCTCCAGCTTCCCCCGGGTGCAAGAAGCCCTAGTCTAGCCTGGAAAAGCCACAATACCTCTGCTTGGGAAAAGCGGGCAGTAACAGGCGGAAGTCAATGGAAGGCACACTGGCGCTTGAGCCACGAGCGCACACAACAAAACAAACTTCGGACACACATCCCGCGGGTTTAACACAACTTCGCACCAGCACTGCACCGCCAGCGACCACAATAGCCCCCGACAGGCGGCCACAAACGCGGTTAGCGAAGTTGCAAAGTGGCCCCGACGCCGGTCAGCCGGTCCCAGCGCCGCAATCCCAGACTGAACTCTCTCCAAAGACGCGGTCTAACACGCTGTCCAGTTCAAACCCGGCGAGCACCACTTGGGCGCTCCGCAGGGCGGCAGAGACAGCGGGATCGGACCGGCTTATGAATGATGGCGGGGGCGGGAGGGGGGGCGGGAGGGGGGCGGGAGGTGCCCGTGCCGCCGACGACGACCGGCGCGCGAGGCACCGCAGGGCGTGCGGAGGAGGCGGCATGAACGTGGGACGGCGGGAGGCGGTCGCCGTACGCTAGAACGCGGGCAAAAATTGACAACAAAGTTATCACCACACATCCAGAGTATAAAAACGCGCCCGCAGTTTGCGTGCTTCAGCGTCAAGCGTGAAGCCCCGCACGATGAACATGAAGCTGAAGGATGTGCATGCCACGCGACATGACAGGATTGACGCCATAATGAAATGACGTACAAATTATAGGACCGTTCTTGTTCCCTCTAAACTCAGTCCATTTTCATGCTACTGTAACAACGAACGTTGCCTCGGCACCACAGAAGCTTGGTGGCACGTGGCACCACGAAAACGCTAAACCCCGGCCGTGATTCCGACACCGCCTTTGCCTCAGCCTCAGCAGAACGCCGGCTGCAGCCAGTTTCAACAGGCGAAACCACAACTCAGGCCTCGCCTGAATCAGACCAACACAAGCCCATGCGGCCGGGAAACCCCAATGTCACTGGACAAGACCACGACCTCCAACTCATTAATTGGTGCAGCACTCAGCGAAACAAGCCACACGGAGTCGTCACATTTCCTGACATGGCTTCAAAGCAAACTAAGCAGCTTCTTGGTCCATCTACATGCCTAAAATCTACGTTCCGTCCACCTACGGTCCAACCTACGGTCTATCTTCGGCACACAAAAAAAAAACGCTGCCTAATGAAAAACCTCATGCTGAACATTCGCCTGCTGCCCACGACCAGCGCCCGCCGCCGCGGCCCAGCGACCGACACCGGCGCGGGCGGCGGCCACGGCCGGCCGCTCCCCCTCCGGATCAGGAGTCGCGCCACCGCCGCTCGCCGGCCGGGGGCCCTCATCAGCCACGGTCATCAGGCCGGCGGCCACAGTCCGGGCTCGAGATATATGGTCCAGCGCCGGTCGGCCAACACAAACACCTGACACACAGCCCGGCCGACCGGCCACCCTCCGCGCCACGACGCTTCCCTCGGAGCACAAATGTGTTCTTGGGTGCAGAGTACCGGCCAGAAACCCAACGCCCAAGCTGTGGCACCCCCCCCCCCCCTCCACCCCCCCCCCCCATGCAGGTACTTTGTCCCCGGACTTTCTGCTGGGTCGGGCCGCCGATGGCTCTTGTCATGCCAGGCATGACAATGACACTGACATCGAGATAGGGCCCCTAGCTGGCGCCATCTCGCCGCTGAACAGCTGTCCGCCCCGAGCGCGGTCGCGGATCAACCAGATCGCCCTCTCGAGAGGGGGGGGGGGGGGGCGACCCAGCGTCTGGGGAGCGCCAGTCTCGGCCACAGGGGTGGTTACGGTTACAGTTCTGGGGCTGTCACGGCACGAGAGCGGGCCGACGTGATCGGCCAATACCAGTGACGTCACTTCGAACAATCGAGGCATTCCACGACGCTTCGGTTAACTATCGGTTATCCGAGTGGCAAGCTACCGTGGCGAATCTTCCTGAGGCCGCGAAAAACCGCCCTTACCGACGAGCCACTAACCACAAATAATAATAAAGCTCCTGCGCCGGCTGTGACGGAGACGGCGAAAAAATGGCAGCGGCCAGGCTCGGACCTACGGCCCACCGCATAGCCGCGCTCGAACGCTCAGCCGACGCGGCTCCGCGGCGCCACCGATCGCCAATTAATCATCGCCGCCGGCCGTCGGACGGCGGCGCCCCCCAGAGCGATGAGGCCGCAACGGCGTCCGACGGGCCACCGCCGCCGACCGTCGCCGAAATCGGCACGCCGACCTGTCGCCGAAATCGACACGCGAGCGTCGAGTCCAGCGGCGAACCCCACCACGCCTGTCCTCCCCCCCCCCCCCCACGGGTTGATGAGCACGCGCGGGCGCGAACGGCGCCACGGCCGACAGGAGCGCGACGGCCGTGTGCCGACCGACTGGCAAATCAGACCCAGACCAGGCAACACACAACTTGATTTGACGCCGATAACCGGGTGCGTAGCTGCAATAGCGAACGCTGATATTTACACAAGACGAATGTCTAAAAAACAGAATATGCTGGGATCTAGTCGAATATACTAGACGACATGACAGCGGCGAGAGGCGAGGCTGATGGAGCGTCGGATGTCCGCAGCAAACTCCGGGTCGACTACCGGCCGCGGTCACAGCCGCTAAACGCCGTGACCGCAAGATCAGCCACGGTCCGTACTGGGTCACGCAACCGCGTGTGTCGTTCATCCTACAAAGCTAACAAAAACAAACAACAGAACCAGGCCCGGGCTCCAGCCGTGGGGGCCACCGCAGCGGCCGCGTCGTCGTCGACGGACGCCGAGTGGCGCCGACTGCGACGACCCGAGCCGGCCGTCGACGCCCGACCCCAACCGAGCGCGCCCATCTCGGCGCGGCGACGCGCTGTCCCCGGCCAACCGCCACCGACGCTCCACAAACGCTCGGGGTAATCGACGCCAGGCGGCCGTCGACGCGTCTGGGGGCGGAGCGTCGGCGGCGGCGCTGCTCGGGACGTACTCACGTCATACGCGCCGGACTTGATCTGGGCGTAGAGCCGGTGCTGGTCCTCGTCCCAGAACGGCGGGTAGCCGACCAACAGGATGTAGAGAATCACGCCTGGAACGAACGGGGCGTGACAGGTCAGAACGTGACTGCCCAACGTGCGGCTCGCAACGGCAGGAGCGCGAGCTGCCCCCAGACCACCGACACGTCCGCGTCCGCACAAGCGCGACGCACACACACACACACACACACACACACACACACACACACACACACACACACACACACACACACACACGCACGCACGCACGCACGCACGCACGCACGCACACACGCACGCACACACGCACGCACGCACGCACGCACGCACGCACGCACGCACGCACGCACGCACGCGCACACACACACGCACACACACACGCACACCCACCCACACGCACACCCATACGCACACGCACAAGCGCACACACACACACACACATAGACAGTGCACAGCGATAGCGTTCACAACCAAATCCCTCAGCAACGTCAACTGAAGCGTTCAGCAGAACACGGGACCATCTGTTTCGGTACAGCACACCAGACATCGCGTCACACACGGTCAGGGGCGGTCATGCGGCGCACCAGTCGACCATCCGGCCATTAACTCGCGTCCGGCGGCGAGCGGTCCGCGATGATGAACGAGAACGATGTGCACCGCATGGCCGCGCGAAATTTCAGCGGACGCGCCCAATAGCCGGCGAAGACCTGTCACTTGTCCGCCGACATTGCCAGGGCATATCCGGGAGAGCCACAACAGATGGCCGTCCAGCGCACACGGTCACAGCCCCGCTGACCCTTACACAGCACGCGCTGAGCCCTCTGACCTCATACAGCGCGCGCTGACCCCTGTGACATTTATAAAACACGCGCTGACCCCTGTGGCATCTATACAGCCCGCGCCTGACCCTCTGCGACCTCCGCACAGCACGCGCTGACCCCTGCGACCTTCGCACAGCACGCGCTGACCCCTGTGACCTCCGTAAAGCACGCGCTGAGCTAAAGGGCCGACGGGCGGATCAGTGACGACGTCCCCTCTGAGGACATAAGAGTGTGATTTCCAAGACGCTTCTTACCGTCCAGAGCCGTCCAATAAGCACCTATTTTTTCAGGCGTGGGACATAACTGTTCATCTTCCCCTCCCCTCCCCCTCCCGTCCGCTTTCGCCGTCCCCGCCTCAGCTTTGCCAACGCAGACGCCGTTCCGCGTCGCATAAGGTCAAGGAAAGGTCATGGACGGTCAACGGGTGAGCTTGACGATGTCGTCTCGCCGCCGGCTGCTATTTCTGACGGAGTCCTATAACGGAACCCATTTGAGATGCTTCATCTCTGTACGTGACCTCCCTTCGGCGCTCGGATAACAAGATCCACATTCCGCGGAGGAGGTTTTCATGTACCATGATAACGAGTTATTTGCATCTAGTATATGCTTCATTCCTTTTATACCATGTAATCTAAACATACCATTTATATTTATACCTTAATTCTAACTGGATGGTTCTCGAGGCGAGTTGTTGTAGAACTCCAGGCACATCGCGCTTCATTTGTAATGCGATCTCACTTAGGCTTCAACTCCATGGCCCCTGGTTTCGCTAGCGCGCTTGTCCGCTCTCTCCTCAGAATGAATGACGATGTCAGAATGTGTGTCTTGGCTGTCGCCGAGTCGGTGAGGTCTGGATCTAATTTCGACCTCTTTAGTTCAGCTTTTGTGTGAATGAGAGCAAGAGGAAGGGAGAACAAAGTGTGGTGATGTGGCAGTGCTGCGGGGAAACCTCGCCTGATCGGATAGCTTGCATGCAAAATGCCCCGTCAGTTCTTCAGCCCAGCGTTTGAAGGACTGCCCTCTTCGTCGCTGACAAGCTAAAGCTTCATTACAGTACACCCAGCTGTTGTGGATACCTCCTCCCCCTAAAAAACGTACGATGACAGAAAGCGGTTGAATTGGCCTTTGCGAAAGCTGCTTCTTTTCGGCCCGCCTAGCAGCAAGCGATCGCAGAACCCCCGCCGTGCCACATTTAGCCATAGCTTATCCACGAGTGGGCACACAACAGTGACAAATCAACGCCCCCTCCCCCCCCCCCCCCGCCACCAACTGGTGGCACACAACAGACACTTCAACGGCCCCTACCACCTGGCGGCGTACCCGAGAATGCACCGAGTAGGCGCTGGAGGCTGAACTAGACCACCTGTACTCAAGACTTCGATGCTTGTCATAACAATTGGCACAGCTAATGCAAATTAACCGGTACCACTATAAACAGCTTACGCTCACGACGCACGCCGTCGTTTGTTCATATGACGCAGGCCCCTGGCGGTGAGGGACAGACGACACGTGCCGTATTTTGTCCGCATGACACGGGCCCCCAGCGATGAGCAACAGAGAGGCGGCCAAGGCTGCCTTCGCGGGTGGGGGGGGGGGGGGGAGGGGCAGAGCTAGGTGGAAACACATCACGCCAATCTTTTTTAATCCTGTCTGCAGCCACCTATGGTTGGAAGTTGTAAGGTGCATCGACTGCAGATGGTCATGCAGCCCATCTACAATTGAGCGAAAAATGCCGGTATAATGTTGTTCAAAATGGTCAACGGCACCCTGGCTGCAGCTGTGGTGAGTGGGTGAGTGCGTGCGGGAACGGCGGCCCTCCACGCGGCGGCGGGCCGGCACTAAGAAACAATAGCGCCGTGCAGGCCGCCGGTGGCAAGGCCGGACCGGTCCCAGCTGCGCCTCCGGTCAGGGGTCAGGTCAAACTGCGACGGACGGTCCCGGCTGCGCCTCCGGTCAGGGGTCAGGTCAAACTGCGACGGACGGTCCCGGCTGCAGCTCCGGTCAGGGGTCAGGTCAAACTGCGACGGACGGTCCCGGCTGCGCCTCCGGTCAGGGGTCAGGTCAAACTGCGACGGGTGGTCCCGGCTGCGCCTCCGGTCAGGGGTCAGGTCAAACTGCGACGGACAGCCGCCTTGGAATCGCTCTGTGAAGACGTCCGGCCCTGCAGATTCCCGGATTCAGCGACTCGCCTTGTTCGTGGCTGCCGTAAATCTGCTGCCGTAAATCAGGGCATTATGTGCCGGGGGGCAATTTCCGCCCCCGCCTCCCCCATATGTGCTTACTTATCATTGTTGTATATTGTTTTATATTGTTTATTATATAAAAATATGCATTGTGTATTATATATATGTATATATATATATATATATATATATATATATATATATATATATATGTGTGTGTGTATACATTGATGTATATTGTTATTGGAGACGGTGAAGTCGCAGCCCGGTCTGTGAGACCGGTGACGATGAGCCCACAGTGCGATAATGACTCCGAAAGATCCGGTGAGTGAGATCAGGTGAGTGGACACTGAGCCGGTGAGGAAGTGCACGGAAGGAGGAACTGTTCGCCGTGGTGCTTGTTCACTATCACAGAGGAGTTCACTACGTAAACACAGCGCATGGGGGCAGGGGAGGAGAGGGAACAGGGGACGGTGTTGAGGTCCCTATGCCAAGTTATGCCATGAACTGTTGCATAGAACAGCAACCACCTTCTCAGTTTCCAGGGCCAGGAGAGGAGTGTAAAGTCAGGCGACACAAACGGCCGAGTTCAAGTCTAACACGTGCGCCAACACTTCAGGTAATTAGCCTGCCAAATATCAACTAGCGCGGGAAAGCCGAACAACGACTCTTTGATTTGTAGACCGACGTGGCAGAAACTGCCCACCGTGGCGCAGTGGCAACCGAAGACAGGATGTGCGACGCCCGCTTGAGCGAGGTTCGCGCGGCGGCAGCCCCTCCACAATAGTTTCCCGCCTGCGACTCGCGCAGCTGCCTGGAACCAGCCGGCAGACTTCGTGCCGCGGAGTGCCCCTGCGCGGAGAGGCACTCCTGAGTGCGGAGTGCAGCGGACAGCGGACTTGGCTCGGCGCGGCACTCTTATCTCAACTCCGCTTCTCCGAACAACCAGCACAAAAATCCATCACGGGTGCTGAACGACGGCGGAGATCGGGCCACTCGCGCCGCGATTTATGGATGGCATCACATGACCCGCACTGGGAGTCGGCCAACCGCCCTGCATTCCCAGAAAACATCGGCGGACACCGCCCCAAATAACCTGATTTACAGTCCGGTCGCCTGGGTGAATAGCGAAGGGGGTAGGGAGACGGGCGTGGGCGGCAGGCGGGGCGGGGAGGGCGTTTCGACAACGGAGCTGAAGGACGCCCCTTGCCTGTCCGGCGCCAGCTCGCTCAGCCTCGGCCTATTCAGCCTCAGCCTCAGCTCAGCCGCAGCCTATTCAGCCTCGGCCTCAGCACAGCCGCAGCCTATTTGCGTCCTCCGGCTGCCGCCCTATGAGACTGAAGCGCTATTCACGACAGAAATACGCACCGGGGGCCCCGCCGGCCGACACGGAGTATGGGGTGTCAGTTAGGGTTACCCGGAGGGGGAGGGAGGGGAGGGGGCGGTGCGCCATCGCGGACTCCCGGTGGGGAACCGGTACTGGTACAAATCGGTACAAACCAGTACGGACCGGTACCGGTACTGAGACAGGTCCTCTGTTCCGACCGAGCCCCCGCATTATGCGTTTAAAGATGCTGCGTGCGGCCGAAAGCTGGGATGGGGAAGGGGGAGAGAAAGGGGGAGGGGAACGGGAACGGGCGGAACTCCCAGCCAGACAGACCGGGTCGGGGTTCAATAAGGCCTTCGAGGTCCGCCCGCAGCACGCGACTGCTACCGTACGAGCGCAGCCCGTCGATACCGTCGATGCCGCAGCCTCACTGGGCGGACAACAAAGAACGACACGGCTGAGAGCGTGCCAAGCGCGGAGGAGCGGCCCAAGCGGTGCCTCCTGCGGATGCCGCACGATGCTCCGCGCTTTGATCAGCGACGCAAACGGCCGACGACAGCGACTAGGAGGAGTGCGTCGGCCAGTAGCCAATCCCAGGCCGGCGCGACGGCTCGCGTCAGCACTGTCGGCAGTGATCGAACACAGGCGGATCCGGCTTCGGCAGCGACAGAGACGGAGCGCGCCGGCCGATGTGGCAGAATTTCGGCGAGTTCGCGACGTCCCGGCCAATACGAGAAGCCCGC